TTTGTTTAAGTTATTTCTAATAAATATATTTATTATTTTTTTTATTAAATATTTTTTTATTTTATTTTGTTTATTAATTAATTAGTAACAATAATTTAAAATTAGAAGGTGCTAAATATATTGCTACATCTTTAGAAAAACTTCATAAAATGAACAGTCTAAAGCTATATCTAAAGTAATTAATTAATCTTTTTATTTTTTAATTTTCTTTAATTTTATCTATTTTTTATATTTGTATTTAATATTTCTTAATTTATTTTAATTTGATTTGGATTGTAATTATAAATTTACATTAATTTATATTTTATTATTAATTAGCAATAATAGTTTAAATTTAGAAGCAGTTCAATAAATTACATAATCATTATAAAACTATTAGAATCTTACTCACTTAACTCTTTATCTTTGGTAATTATTTTTTATATTTAATATCATTTATTTAATTTTTATATTTTACATTTTTCTATATTTAAATTAATTTAATTTATTTATTTGTTAGCTCAAATAATTTAAATGAAGAAGCAGCAAAATATCTAGCTTAATTATTACTAAAATCTTAAAATCTTACATCTTTAGAATTAGGCCTTTAGTAATTGATTCTTTTTATATTATTATTTTTTATAAAGTATTTTTTTATAATTTAAAAAAATTAAATTAATTAATTTAATCCTAGTAATAATAATATTGGGTATCAAGGAGCAAACCTAATTGCACTTTCTCTAAAAAATAATTAGAAAATCACTTATCTACGTCTAAATTTTTAGTAATTAATTTTTAAAATTGAATGTAGGAATTAATACTATTTTGTAATTTATTTATAATCTTAAATTTATTTTATTTTTTTCAAAATTTATAAAATTTATTTTGATAGCTTATAAATGATTAAATTATTTGATCATTTAAAATATATTTGCTAAACAAGCTCTCATTTTCTTAAAAAAAATTAATTAAGTTAAAAATTAGAATTAAGGATATAATTAATTTATATTTTTCATTTTAAGAAATATTTTATAGTTATAGAATTTCTTTAACTTGAAATATTTGTTTACACCAACCATATAAAAATTTAAATATTAAAAAATATTGTTATTATTTTAGATTAGTAAATTTATAAGAATATAATATTTTTTGTTTTT